GTACGTGATGGAATGCATAACTTTTTTTGTTTCAACAACGTCTCACCCGGCACAGTGGTCGTAAACTTTTAAATATATTTTACGTAGTAATAAAAATATAACTTGACATACGTATTTATAAATAATTTATATTCAAATTACATCATTTCTATGCCCAAGGGCGGCGTAAGGCATGGACGACGTGGGCCACCGCCTATGCCTGGCGGTCCGCGCCAGGCATAGGCGCCAGGAAGGGCCTCGCGCCTCGATGGTTTATGCATTACTTAAAAGCCGCGAACGCGACGAAAAAATTTTACTCGTCATAAAACGATAAATAGTTTGTCAAATTTTTATTCATAAAAATGCTGTTTCAACTGCTTTTTATTTTATAAAATCCGTCTTCTTGCGCCACCAGAGGGCCTTTTAAACAATAGGTAGTCTGTTAGCGCTGGTCAGTAGTAGTCCAAATTCAATACGAACGTTTGTTTCTTGAAAATTTTATCACGATTTAAATACAGTATTTACTTTTAATATTACCGATATGTCATCGAAAAGAAAACGTGTTGTATTATCATTAAAAGACAAAGTATTTGTTTCGATTATCCGGATTTTTCCTTATCCGGACTACCTTCATCCTCAATTAGTCCGGATAATCGAGGTTCTACTGTATTTGAAATATCTGATTTTTTCTGAATTCTACTTTTTCTTTTTTTATTTTATTATAAAATGAGATTTTATGAAGACTATAGAAAAATGAAATGGAATTTTGCATAAGTTATATACAAGAACCATTTGGAAATCAACCTCTAATGGTATGAAATAAAACAGGAAAAAAGGAAAACTATATTTATTATATAGTTTTCTTTACATACATACATAAAAAAGTTGCTTACATACATAAACAATTTTTAAGCATAATTGCCATATAAATCCAGACATTTATTACAGTGTGACACCTTCTTAACCTTCCTTGAAGAAGGTTGCTGTCAATGATATCAGCCACTTCTGAACATTATCCATTAGCTCTTCATTGTTGTCAAATTGCTGCAACCCCAACCAAATTTTCATTTTTGCAAACAAATGATAATCGCTTGGTGCAAGATTCAGACTGTAGGGTGGATAGTTGAACACTTTCCATTGAAACTGTTGGAGCAACCCTTTTGTGCATGCAGCTATGTGAGGGCATGCATTGTCACAAACCAAGGACCAAAACAATATCTGAGGCCAACATGCCTCACTTCTTGTTCTGAATCACCTTTCAAATTTTTTTGAGGGTTTTGCAATACATACTCACAGTAATGGTTTTACCTTGTAACATCAGCTCTATCAGCAACATTCTCTTACAGTTTTAAAAGACTGTAGCCATAAGCTTCTTAGATTTGTTCAGCGAGGTCATATGCATCCATTATTTTGATTGACCCTTTGCATGTTCTCAGTAAACCACGTTTCATTGCCTGTTATGATCTTGTTCAGAAAATGTCATTATCTGTGTTAAAGCATTGCAAAAACTGCAATGCTGACCCCATTTGCTTTATTTTGTGATCTTCTGTAAGGTTTTTTTGGAACCAACCTGACATGAAACTTGTGATAACCTAAGAGTTGAAATCACAGTCATAGTGTTGTTTGCCCAATTGCAGGAAATTCACAAGACAGTTCTGATACTTTGAGCATAGGTTACCAGACTGTCTTCCTTATCTACCTTTATCATGCACATCTGTTTGTACTTTTCAAAATTTCCAGCACCATTTTCTCACATAACCTTCACTCAGAAACTTGTCTCCATACACAGCACTCATCCATTGCGGGCAGTGGATTTCAAACACACTTTATTTTTCAGCTTGCAAAAAACAAATTACAGTGCAAACCTCACATTTGGCAGGAACTTAGATTACACCAGAAATCATTCTTTGTTTGCTACAGACCAGGCACCAAACACAGTGACCAATCGTATGAGATTATGTAAGCCATATGACAGCTTTCTTCTGCATGTGTGTCATGGCACTGCAGTCAACCACATGTTTGTACTAGCCAATCAGAGGTTGATTTTTAAACAGCTTATGTATATTCTAGTGCCATTCTTTTTTCATTATAAATTATAGAAATCTTTAAAGATATTTTTAATTTATTTGTTTAATTNGTTGATTTTTAAACAGCTTATGTATATTCTAGTGCCATTCTTTTTTCATTATAAATTATAGAAATCTTTAAAGATATTTTTAATTTATTTGTTTAATTTAATAAATAAAAAGTAAATTCATTTTATATTAATAATATTTAGATAAAGAAGTAGAAAATCTTATTGTTAAATGTACTTCCTGTGGAGAACAAATTAATCATCATAATTCATCCTATGTTCGAAGACATTTGCATCTTGGTGTACTTATATGTCGTGTAAGTAGACTATATTTTTGTTTAGAAAGATAATTTTTCTGTAAAAGCATGCTTTATTATTATTATTATTATTATTAATTGCATATTAGTCTGTTTAAACAACTAAATTTTGAATAATAATTATAACAACTTAAGATTTATTTATTTATTTAGGAACTTGTATAATTTCTAAATAGAGAGATATGTATATTAAAAGACTTACTAAGACACCTTATCTTGCAGCCGAAGTTTATTACTTGAAACATTTTTGGTCATGTTAAATGACCTTTTTCAAGACAAAGAAATAAAAGAAAGCAAAATAAAAGATAAAAAACTGTATAAATCGAACGCTTAGTACAAGTGAACAAGCTTTTCAAATATTTTTGAATTAGTCTATAATCCATTTCAATTTTTGACGTCATTTTTAACTTTGCAACAGAACTATAAAAGATCCTAAAGATTACATAAATATCTAAAAATCATAAGTACAGAGAGTTACCACCTCCAATTATCGCGCATAAATACATAGCTTAAGATATAAGGATGCATAGTATCTGCTACCTTCGATTATTAAGGTTTATATTAAGCTAGAGGACCATGCTGCCAATATTTTTGTCGATTCTCGAAAGTTGATTGCACGTCCCTTATGGTTTGCTTTACAAATCTGCCAGGCTTCTGCGTAATGCTGGTGTTTACGGTCTCGAACTACCTGCAGTAGTCTTGCTTGGTCCCATTCGGCTTTGACGTCTTGTGGGTTCGCTAAAACGTAGGTGGCCAGCCCAGTGCATGGTTGTTCCTTTCTTATATTTCCTTGGTGTTCTGCTAACCTGTCCTTGATACATCTTCCTGTGGCTCCTATAGACATTAATTTACTATGTCACCGTGAGTTTGTCACTGGGATTTTATAGACACCTGGGAGTGTGTTTCTGTCTACTTCATCCTTATCGGATTGTAATAGTTGGTAGGTGGTGGGGGTTCTTTTATATAGGATTCTTTTGTTCTTGGCTTTTCCGATGCATTGAAGGATATTAGTCAGCGATGCATTATAATCCATCGTTATAACTCTTTTGTTATTAGGTAAACTTCTCTTCTTACGGCACATTTTGCTCTTGCTGATAATAGCATTAACACTAATCCCATACTTTCTGGCTAAGTTATATATACAATTCAGTTCATCTGTTCTATCTTTTGTATTGCTACAATGCGAATAAGCTCTTGCGATTAATGTTCGGAACGCTGCCATTTTATATGCTGGAGGATCGTGAGAGATCCAAGGAACAAATATGGGGTTATATGAGGGCTTTCTGTAGACTTTAGTAGTGCACTCTCCTATGCTGTTAATTTGTATATACAGATCTAAGAAATATATGGTCTTATCATTTTCTTGTTCTAACTCTATCTCAAGCCAGAATCTATTGTCATTTATATCCTTTATAAAACTCTGTATGTTGGGTTTAGCGTTCCAGAATATACGTAGTACGATCCAAAAGTTCGGGAACTTGGCTTAAAATTCCTTACCTTAAAAAGTTTATATTGCCGATGCATAACCACCTTTAAAGTAATCATCTTGGGCAACGATACACTTTTGCCAGTGCTCATATAACTTCTGGAAGCACTGCTGGAAGCCATTTTTTGAAACATCCCGTAAGGCCTCCTGCGATGCTGCTGCTCACCTTGTCTGATGACACAAAACGGCGTCCTTTTTTTATTGATGAAAACAAATAAAAATCACACGGGGTAAGTCCGGTGAATAGGCAGGGTGTGGAAGTACATTAATTAAGGGACTGATGTGCAGGTGTGTTGTCATGCAGAAGATACCAGTCTCCACTTCGCCAGATCTGTGGCCATTTACGACGAATGGATTCCCTCAAACGACATGAAATGTCTAGATAATGCTTCTTGTTTACTGTTCTGCCTTCAGGAATAAATTCTGAATGAACAATTCCTTGAGAATCAAAAAACACCTTCATCATGACTTTTCTTTTGCTCGGTGCATGTTACGATCTTCTGTTAAAATACGCTGGCAACTAGTCTTTGATAAGTGAGAAGCCACAGCAATTTTTTCAAGGGTTTGGCGACAATCTTTTCTAACACATTGAGAGACCAACTCAACATTTTTTTTCGTTTCGTGAAGTCGAAGGTTGGTCAAAGCGTCCATTGTCTGTGATGGATTCTCGGCCCTCTTTAAAACGCCGATGCCATTTGTACACCTTTGATTTTGCCATGGTAAAATCATCGTACACCTTTCTTAGCAATTTTAAAGTCTCTGTAGGTGTTTTACCTAAACGCTGACAAAATTTAATGTTGCAGCGCTGTTCTTGAAACTCCATTTTTATTACATCGCAAAACNCTTAGCAATTTTAAAGTCTCTGTAGGTGTTTTACCTAAACGCTGACAAAATTTAATGTTGCAGCGCTGTTCTTGAAACTCCATTTTTATTACATCGCAAAACAAAGGTAACTATCTCTGAAAGAAAACAACAGCGCTTGCGGTTTAATCACGTGACGTGGGTGAAACCAACCTGAACACGTACTAAAGGTTTGATAGAATCAATTTCATACACTGTAACTTCAAATACATGCTTTTGATGTCATACATTACTGCAGTCCCCGAACTTTTGGATCGTACCACATAAGTACATCGTCTACGTATCAAACATACATTATCATTTGCACTTCATATTTCGGCATCACTGCGTTTTCTAGCCTTGCTAGTATCATTTCACATAGTGTACCTGCAAGGGGGCTGCCCATAGCTACTCCTTTTTGTTGTGTGTAGGTAACACTTTTGAAGCTAAATAGCACAGAGAAAATGGTAAGGTGCATTAATTCTAAGATGTATTTTCTTTTCTTTCTTGGAGAAGGGATCTTGCTAAGTAGTATATCCCTTAGATGACAAAAACACGGTTCCAGTTTAACAGATGGATATAAGGCTTTGTAGTCTAACACTGTCATATATTTAACTTCCTGCGAGTTAATATTAGCCATTTTGTTTAAAACCTCTAACGGTTGCTTGACGCTGTACGGATTGTTAGGAGCATGTTTCCAAACAAAGTTGTGTAACCATTTTTCTAGTAATATTGTAGGAGCGTATGCTTTATCGACGACTGGTCTTATATCCTTGTTCTTTTTATGGGTTTTAGCAAATCCAAAAAGCTTTGGAGTCGACGGGGATTGTACAATTATATTCTTGATGCCTAGTTCTTTGGCTGGAGGAGTGGTTGTGAATCTCTTGACTCTTGCTTGCAGTTTCTCCATGTAATGTAAATAAAAGGGTCGATATACAACAGTCAGGAGAGTGATGATAAGAAAAGTATATATAAACAAAGACCAGGGAGTCATGCTTTCTCCCAGGCAATAAATTTTACAACCCCACTGTAATTAGATGTCCTTCCCTATTTAAAACTATTTACATCTGTGTGTTAAAGTATTTCACACTTTGTTTCAACTGCAAATGATGTTTTTTTTCTGTAAATATATATTAAAATGCACATATATACTTTAATTTTTTTTTTGTAATATTATTTACTTTATATGCAGTTAAAGAGAATAATTAAACTAATTTTCGATATTTTAAATTATTTACTATTAAAATAAACCACTATCAGATATAAAATAAATTTTTATTTAAAAAAAAACTACGACCGCTGACCTTGTACCGCGTCATGATGCCACACGATGCGCCGGCGGTCGTAGCTAGGGCCAGTTTGCTATACGACCGCCGGCATTCTAAGCCACCTGAATAGATATCCACAAGAGGCCAGCACTAAGCATGCAGAAAACATTGTACGAGGCCAGGAAAATTTAACCTTGAGTAAAACTACATTGTTTACGACTACGGGCTGTACAGGAATTTATATTACGACAGCGCGCGTGTCATATGGCAGCCAACATGTTAAGAAAAATGCTGTATAATCAAGAAGACTCAATCAGCTAAAGGAGTAACAAAAGTCACATCTGAGAAATAAAGAACATCGAAGAGTTCATAATGGAACCTGAAACGGACCTGACGACAGAAGAATGCCAAGAACTCTTGAATGAACACCAAGAAACTCGGTGAGATATGTTTTCTTCTGAAAAAGAGGATTAATGCCGATATCTGTTATTAAAGATCCTTTGAAGAAGTGGGAGGATGTTAGAACAACGGTCTTAGAATGGCATCCAAACCAGGTTGAGGCTTAGGGATTTCTACAATTGTAATGCTATTAATTACTTACGAAAAATCCTGAAGAAGAAAGAAAAGCAATCGACATTAGACAGATTCTTTAACCCTTTCAAACGGAAAAAACATGACTGATAAAAATGCAAGATGGTGTATGTATGTATTTTTATTATTACATATAAATAAACATAGTAAGAAAGTATATATTTGTTTTATTTTTGGGGGTCTCCAGAACAAATTAATTAAATTCCCATTAAAACCTATGGTAAATTGATAATCGGTTAACGAACAATTCGGATTGCAAACAATGTCTTGGAACGGATTATGTTCGTTAACCGATCACCCACTGTACTTTCTGCCTTGTTAATGCTCAAATTTTTCATTACAGCATAAAAATACATTGAGAGTGTATGAACTAGATTGGCTGTTATTTCTCTGTCTTGCTTTACCTCACTCGTCTACAATCTTTGTGATATCAGATGACTTAGTTTATATTAGCATATCTGTGCATGCAAGCATTTACAATTTACATACTTGATATTATGCACTTTGCTTTGTTTGTAATAATAATATCACAAAAATAATTGAGTTCAATTTAATTGCACTGTTATGAAGAACTATATATTAATATAAAGTCCAAAAATTTCTTAGATGACTTCAGTACCTTTAGCATCTTGGTTCCTGCATGATTTATACATGCTATGCTCAACTTGAGTTAGCCCTAGATACTGTGCACGCCAATTTTTTAACTTTATTTTTATTATATAATGATGCACATCATAATATTATGAATTTAAACAAACAGAAATAGAAAAGTTTAATATACTATACTGAACACTTTTTCAGTCTGTATTTATTCATAAATTAATTGATTCTTCTGTTGTAAAGCAATTCTTTCTGTACAATAAATTTGCTAGTATTCTTAGTCTTATTCTTGATATTGTTATTTTTATCTGAACAATATATATTTGTGTTGTGTTATTTTACATAGGATTATGTGTAAAATGAAATTTCTTGTAAATTTGTGCTCCATTCCAAGTAGTTTCAGTTGATTGCCTAGACATTTATGCAACTAGTTTCAGTTGTCAGAAAATCATTAAAATGTATTTAAAATGTTTTACTGTAATGAACAACATTTCAGAATATAAAGTTTTTGATTATACAAAACAAAATTTTATTATACCACATTCAGTATATTATTTGATAAAAATATATTATTCATCATAGTGATTAGCATTCATTAGTTTTCCATGTGTAAAATGTCAGAAGCTGGAGAACATTATTTGCCGACTTAAGAATAAGATTTATTGGCATTAGGAATAAATTATCTAATTGTTTGCCATCTACAAAAAAACAAATCTGCATATATCAGCCCTGCAGAAAACAAGACACTATCGTTCTAGCACACAATGTAACTGGGTAATATTCATAAACAACAAACCACACAGAATCTTTTCTGACCCCAGTTGAAAACTTAATATCAACAGACTAATATTTTTGATGCAAACTGAATTATCATAAATTGACATTTTTTTTAATCCAACTTGGCTTGCTATTTTCAACACAATGAGTCAATTTTGACTCTCAGAAACTTTTTCATAAAACTGATTTTTCTTTGTTTCTATTAAAATTTTAATTTGTTTTGATGATTTTTAACCAACATGACACCCCGCAGTTTGCTATTTTTAAGACATTGTTGTTTTAATTATTCATGTAAGAATTTCAGAAGATGAATTGACATCAAATGTCACTGTAACATTGATTCCAGGAAAAGTGTTTTGTGAATGAAAACAATACGATATTACAAATGATGAATTTATACTAGTAATTTATATTTAATACCTTATTATGATACTGAAAAAATCCAGTAATGAGTTGCTTAACTTTCATGGCAAGATTTAAAACTGTGTGTGATGGCATCTGTTACAATTTTTATTATTAAAAACTTTTAATATTGCTAATTATTATAAAATTGCAAAAAAGCTCAATTTTGAGGAAAGGGATGAGTTTTACAAAAAACTAATTGTAAATGCTAATAATGAGTAAAATCACCATTAAGTCTGACCCTACTTGAGATACAATCCTTTATCTCTTCACCCCTTCAATCTTTGACCACAAAAACTTAATAGCATTAATTTCCCTAACACACACACACACCTCCTTGCAAAATTTCAGAAATTCTTGACAAAAAGCACTGGAGTTATTAAGCTTTAAAGAGGGTAAACAAAGTCTTGACACTCACACACATGCTAACATCCATACATACAGAAAAAATCCCAAACTTGTTTGCATTTCTGGGCCTTCAAGATCCCGAGTCAAAAAATGTTAAAAATCTTGGGGTTCATATTTTGACTGACTTCTTTTTTTTATATATATATAATAGTCAGGAAAGTAATAAGTAGAGCCACAATTCTAGAAATGATCTATTGAGAGTAAAACAATGGACACAAAAATTGACATAATTTATAGTGCAGTAATCCTAGTGTGTGACTTATGGTTTACTGCTACAAAATAATTTTTTAATAAATCAACAACAGTTATTCATAATTTGAAGTTTGGACTATTTACAAAAAGTCAAAATTAACTTCTGAGTCCATCTTTATCCTTATTACACTACCATAGAAGTAACAGAAATGGTAGTGTAATAAGGATAAAGATGGACTCAGAAGTTAATTTTGACTTTTTGTAAATAGTCCAAACTTCAAATTATGAATAACTGTTGTTGATTTATTAAAAAATTATTTTGTAGCAGTAAGCCATAAGTCACACACTAGGATTACTGCACTATAAATTATGTCAATTTTTGTGTCCATTGTTTTACTCTCAATAGATCATTTCTAGAATTGTGGCTCTACTTATTACTTTCCTGACTATTATATATATATAAAAAAAAGAAGTCAGTCAAAATATGAACCCCAAGATTTTTAACATTTTTTGACTCGGGATCTTGAAGGCCCAGAAATGCAAACAAGTTTGGGATTTTTTCTGTATGTATGGATGTTAGCATGTGTGTGAGTGTCAAGACTTTGTTTACCCTCTTTAAAGCTTAATAACTCCAGTGCTTTTTGTCAAGAATTTCTGAAATTTTGCAAGGAGGTGTGTGTGTGTGTTAGGGAAATTAATGCTATTAAGTTTTTGTGGTCAAAGATTGAAGGGGTGAAGAGATAAAGGATTGTATCTCAAGTAGGGTCAGACTTAATGGTGATTTTACTCATTACTAGCATTTACAATTAGTTTTTTGTAAAACTCATCCCTTTCCTCAAAATTGAGCTTTTTTGCAATTTTATAATAATTAGCAATATTAAAAGTTTTTAATAATAAAAATTGTAACAGATGCCATCACACACAGTTTTAAATCTTGCCATGAAAGTTAAGCAACTCATTACTGGATTTTTTCAGTATCATAATAAGGTATTAAATATAAATTACTAGTATAAATTCATCATTTGTAATATCGTATTGTTTTCATTCACAAAACACTTTTCCTGGAATCAATGTTACAGTGACATTTGATGTCAATTCATCTTCTGAAATTCTTACATGAATAATTAAAACAACAATGTCTTAAAAATAGCAAACTGTGGGGTGTCATGTTGGTTAAAAATCATCAAAACAAATTAAAATTTTGATAGAAGCAAAGAAAAATCAGTTTTATGAAAAAGTTTCTGAGATTCAAAATTGACTTATTGTGTTGAAAATAGCAAGCCAAGTTGGATTAAAAAAAATGTCAATTTATGATGATTCAGTTTGCATCAAAAATATTAGTCTGTTGATATTAAGTTTTCAACTGGGGTCAGAAAAGATTCTGTGTGGTTTGTTGTTTATGAATATTACCCAGTTACATTGTGTGTTAGAATGATGTGTCTTGTTTCTGCAGGGCTCATATATGCAGATTTGTTTTCTTGTAGATGGCAAACAATTATATAATTTATCCCTAATGCCAATAAATCTTATTCTTAAGTCGGCAAATAATGTTCTCCAGCTTCTGACATTTTACACATGGAAAACTAATGAATGCTAATCACTATGATAAATAATATATTTTTATCAAATAATATACTGAATGTGGTATAATAAAATTTTGTTTTGTATAATCAAAAACTTTATATTCTGAATTGTTGTTCATTACAGTAAAAACATAAGTAAAACATTTTAAATACATTTTAATGATTTTCTGACAACTGTAACTGGTTGCATAAGTGTCTAGGCAATCAACTGAAACTACTTGGAATGGAGCACAAATTTACAAAAAATTTCATTTTACACATAGCCCTATGTAAAATAACACAATGCAAATATATATTGTTCAGAAAAAAACAACAATATCAAGAACTAGCAGGTGAGCCTGGTGTTTCTCAGGCAAAGAGTAACAATAGCAAAGATTAAGATTATTAGATTATAGCTGATCTTATCTGTTTTAACCAGGTGCAAGAATTAAGTTCACACCCTTCCAAGACTAATTAGAAAATTTTTAGATGGGTCTAAAAATATGTTCGATTTCCCTCAAAAATGCAGAAAACTGCATCTAAAATAGCACAGTAGAAGCCAAGTTCTTCAGGGTAATCATTAACCCTCTCCCTCTCCCCCATGGAAATTTTGAAAAATCCCTTCTTAGTGTACATCCTCTTGACATACCTTAACTGTGTACCAAATTTCAACCTTCAAATCCTACGCATTTGGGCTCTAAACTTATTATTATTATTGTTATCATCATCAACCCATCTTCATTATATATATAGATTAGTATTATTATCCAATCATCTAGATTATATATATTGGAACCTTGAATAAGTTCTTTCTGTTTTTTCATGAAAATTAATGCTTTATTTTAAAAAAGTCATAAAAACATGTCACTGAAAGTACTGTCCATCACTAGCCACTACTTCCTCCCATCATTCTGGCAGAATTTGAATTCCACATCGGAAAAACACATCTTTTGAGGCTATCCAAGAATACTCATTTTTTGGCATCTCATAAGCCAGGCCATGTGCCATCGATCAGAACAAGTGATAATTGGAAAAGGCAATGTCTGGTGAATACAACAGGTGGGATAGTATTTCTCATTTAAGTGCTTTCAAGTAGGTTTTCACCGGTTGTGCAACATGTGGCCAAAGCAAAATTGTCGTATTGCAAAATCACTTTGTCGTGTCGATGCTCGTATAGCAGCCATTTTTCCTTCAAAGCTTGGCTCAAATGCATCAATTATAGTCGATAGCGATCTCCCATGATGGTTTCGTTCAATTTGAGCAGCTCATAATAAACTACACCCACCCGATCCCACCAAATGCAGAGCAGAAGCTTCAAACCACGGCTTTGTTGACAATGTTGATGCATGGCCAGACTTACTCCACAATCTTCTACTCTTAGGGTTATCGTAGTGTATTGACTTTTCATTGCCAGTCACAATACGATGCAAAAAACCTCTCCTTTCCTGCCATTGAAGCAATGGTTCAGACATGAAAACATGCCATTCAACATCTCTCGGCTTCAACTTGTACGGCACCCAATGTCCTTGCTTTTGAATCATTCCTAATACTTTCAAATGTTTCGAAACTGTTGTGTGATCAACTCCTAATGATTCTTCAAGTTCAGCTAGTGTCTGACATGAGTCTTCATGAAGTAATGCCTCCAATTCTTTGTCTTCAAACGTTTTTGGTGCACCAGAGTGTTCTTTATCTTCAACATCAAAATCATTATTTTTGAAGCATCTAAACCAATCTCTGTGTGTTATTTCCAACAGAGCATGGTCACTATAAGTCTCAACAAGAATTCTGTGTGCTTCAGCTGCAGATTTTTTTTTAATAAAATAGTGCAATAAAATTCTCCGCAAATACTCTTTTTTTGGCACGAAACTCGACATATTTAACACCATGAAAAAAAAGTTGTTTACACTTCGGAAAATGACATATAATGAATTACACGCTTGCTTATGGTACTTCCTTACAGATGCACCACCATCTTAAACTACACACATGCAGTTCTGGTAATGCCATCTGTTGGAAAACAGTGAGAACTTATTCAAGGTCCCAATAATAAACAGGACTTCGTATTATCCAATATCAGATAAAAGAGGTATACTGTATGTTTTTTTATTTAGATCTAAAAACATTATTATGAAAATTGAATTACCTTCTACTTGATGAGGTTTCAGTTTAACAATAAGACTTGGATGTACTTGAATTATTTCTTCTTTGTTTTCTTCATCAACTTCTAGAACTAGCTTTTTAGTTACACACTCTCCAGTCTCAGTAACTTCTATAACAGTGTGATTGTACTAAAAGATGACAATTTAATGTTAGATAACTTCAATTTATTCTCAATATATAACAATTAAACTTACTACTTTTTGTCTTTCTAAAATACGCCTTTTTCGTTCTAGTTCAGCTTGGGCAGCAGCTTTAGTTTCTTCTCTCAACATTTTATCAGATATCAATTTTCTGATATTTTTTCTTCCTTTCCCAATGGGTGTATCTCCTTGATCTTGATTCTAAAAATGAGCATATTTAATAAAATTCATAAAACTTTTCTGCTAAACTAGAATTTTAACATAAAATATCATATATAATTTCTAATAAAAATTTGAAATACAGTAGAGCGTCGTTTATCCGAAGGTCGGTTATCCGAAACGTCCGTTATCCAAAGGATTTCCAGTCGACAAATTTAAATTTTCACCAGTGCTGTGGTGCTGTAATCTTTGGCTATATCTTCGGCTACTCAAATATTTTACGTTTTTGATACTAAATTAACTTCTGAAGTATAATTTTTTATTGTTTTTATATT